AGTAAGCCAGAAGTCCCGGGTTCGACACCTAGCGGGGGCATTGAATGCCCTCTGTTTGCCCTCTGTTGCATTAACTATATTGTTGAAGGACCTAGTTAGCATAGCTTGAAGTGTTATGGCATTTGTCCATCCATATTTTCTTCACTTTCAACTTCTGTTTGATTCTGTATTCCAGAAACGATCCAGTGAATCTTTCCCAGATCTACTTCCATCCAAAAAACAGCGCATCTCCCACGCCACGGCCAAACCGAAGAAAGAAAACAAGCCTTTGATTGGTGAGGTCCTCAAACGTGACCAACACCTCACTGTCAACGGCCAAGACCACTCACACAAAAAGGAAAATATTGATGGTACAGTGTTTTGAGATACAAAAATTTTAAGTGCTAACTCATTAATTGGTTAGTATACTGTATATCCAAATCTCATTATTTCATGAGAAAAAAGCCAAAAGTCATTTCTGCTTGTCAACATCTCTTTAAAAGACTATTCTAAATGAACAACTGGACAAATTGAATGTTGTGTTGAAGCCTCTTAAGCTATCATGAGATTAGGGGAAATTATGCTTGATGCTTCATTAAAGGCATAACTAGATGAGGGGCAGATAACCCAGAATTATATATAAAATTGTTATCTTGTTTACTTGAAAATGTTCGTGTTCTGTAATCCAAACAATGTTAAGGTGTTTTTATTACTTTGATCTAAAGACAGTTTGTTATTGTATAATTGCTGTTAACAAACCTCTTTTGTGAAGGAGTGTTTCACTGTGGTATTCAATTAGGTAATATAACAGAATTCCATTGGTATACACTGTTCATGTGTGATATTTTATTTACAGAGCGAGTCCAAGTCGCCACATCCACCTCTGACAATCCTGATTATATGAAGTAAGATATTATCTCGGAAGAGTCATATTTCTGAAATTTGACCTGGTGATACACTATGATATATATGTAGATGTGCAGTAGGGCTTTTGTCAATAAGGCACATTGTGGCGCCCTTGCTGAGGCACATTGTGGCGCCCTTGCTGACCTGTCATTGTTCTAGTTGGCTGGTAAATTATATTTGGATTTCTTAAGCTTGCACCAACAGTTTCATCTCTCAATTATGATGATAACTACAGATGCCGACACAATTTATACTACATTTTGCCTACACATATAATTCATCTATGTTTTGCCTGTAGAAGTCATTAATTTTCTTAAAATTCCTAAATTCATTGTTTTATTTGTTTGTCAGTACATACCACCCGATCTCCACTGCTGAGCAGCGTCAACGCTACAAACAGGAGTTTAATACCGAGTACGAGGAGTACAGAGGGTTACACATGAATGTAGAAAAAGTGTCGAAGAAGTTCATGGACTTCGAGGTCATGCTTAAAAAAGCAGAACCTGGATCAGATAATTATGAGGTAAGACTTTGGGACCATGTAGCATTACCAAGTCTGCAGTGTATGTTAGCGGAACTGGGGAAAAAAATGACACTCATTATACATTCCATGTGATATTCTTCTTTTCTTGCAAGATTCTGTAAATAAATATTAGAAACTAGATTAGGCTGGAGATGGGAGGGGAAAATTCTTTTAGAAATTATGCATAAATTATTCACATCCCTTCATTATACTGTACAGTGTTAAATAATTGCAACGTGAAAAAGGTTTCCGTTTTAGTATTTTCATGATAGGGTTCGGTTTAGAAATACTCAATATGTATCATCCACAAGATCACGCACCCTGAGCCTTCGATTTTGCCTTAACATATTCCAAGGGTGCAGAGAATATATGTGTATTACCTGAGGCTCAAATAATATTCTAAGCATATTTAGCCTGATGTTTGTTGTGTAACTTTTATTATATCTTTTCATATATCCATGCTTTTGCTTTTCAGAATTTGAAGAACAAGATTCGAAAGGAATACAAACTGCAAAAAAGTGATGTAAAATACATTGATCAAAAGAAGCGGTTTGACTATTTACACAAGAAACTTGGCTTCATAAAACAGCTGATCCTCGAGTACGATCGTCTGCAGACAAGTGGGGACTCCTAATGAAGGCTAAAACCTTCTAATATTGCTCAAATCTGGTCTCCGTACACTTTGGATTATGTGATCTCCATCTCTGAGATGGAAGACCTGGCTCGCCTCAGGACCTGGTAATTAGATCTGTGCAACAGCTGTCGATGTAAAGCTATGCTCGATTTCTGACTGAGAAAGA